AGACCACCGTGCCAGTTTCTGATTTGAATTTTCCGTTCCACCTTAAATTGTTCAGCGGATACATTCTGGCGCCTATATAGGTGTCCGAACTACTGCTCGATTTAAGGTGGAAAGGAAAATTCGAATGAGAAGCGAACTTATGGTTCGTCGCGGTTACGTTGCCATGGTTACAGTAATCGCGCGGCCACGGAGCAGACAGAGTATACTACAACTACTACTACGACTAATAATAATAATAATAATAATAATGATAATAATAATAATAATAATAATAATTTATTGGTGGTTTAAATATGAATATATGAATCAGTTCAATACATTTCATATTATTTTAATAATACAGCTCTAATATACATTCAGAAGAACGCTAGTAACCGCTGTTTTCATTTGCCATGCCACTAATTCACTGGGTCTAACCTGGCCACCCCATTGTGAAGTTCTCGCTACGCCCCTGTTCTGACCACAGAGCCGCTCTTGGCTGGATGGTTTTGGGTGGTCAACTCAAACCAGCAGCGACCGCTGTGCCTAAAACGTCATACAAGCGTCTCACACACACACTATCATGACAGTGTCACTGCTGTGCTGAGAATAAACTACAACCCAACTATCTGGTCAGAGGTGGTGCTACGGCGGTCCATTCCAATTGATGAACAGGGGTAGAGGGCAGCTGATAGGTTGCAGTAACATGAGCTGCTTCATGTATGAAATGTAATATACACTCATAGTGTAGCTATACATGTTAACACGTTAACAAGGTTGCCTCGTCCAGTTAGTCCTATTTTCTTTTATATTACCTGTACATGTGTGCCGCTTATCTGGTAAGTGATGGCACCAGGATGCAAGTCAGCAAAGGGAGCATGATGCTCTGAGCAATGTTCTACTGGGAAATCCTGGGTCCAGTCATGCTTGTGGATGTCAGTTTGACACATGCCACCTAACTAAACGTTGTTGCGGATCAGGTACACCCCTTTATATGGTATTGTATGTATATTAATAACTTCTGTTCTGATCGGCTATCCTGTATTGTGCTGCATTCAAAAGGTAGTCCAGCCTAAAACATCCCTTATACTTCAGCATGAACGGGTGGGATAACTGCTATAGGCGGTTAATGTGTTTTGTGACATCACAAAAACAATGACTTCAAAACAGATGTGTTTGCAGCTTAGTTTGCATATATAGGATGAGAGAGTGATACGTTTTGGAATGTTAATGATGTTTCCATACTACATCAAACTTTTCTAAAAAGAGAGGAAAAACTGTTTTCTGCCTGCTATGGTCCTGTTAAGCCCACCATGAGAGACAAATGTATTAGATCTGGGCAAACACAAAAAGTAAACTCATCTTTCTCATCAAGTAAATAATCATCAATTAGCCAGTACATGCAGCAGCGTACTTTAAAGGGGAATTCCACTGATTTTTCAGAATATCTGTAAAATTAGATAGTTAAGATGTCAACAAAGTTGTTCAGAGTGGTTTGATGTGAAACAGTTATTTGTAGAGAAACTTACCTATTTATCTACAGCGGTGGTGATGGGAACCAGTGGTGGTGATGTCTACAACACAAATATAGATATTTTATTTATTATCCAAAACTATAAGTGAAACTATACGTGTATTCTGAGTGTTTCTGTGTACTGTTGATGATAGTAAATCTTTAAAATATGTTTTCTTTTGTGACTGTTTTACCTTACAATGTCCTGCATGTATATCTTCACTATGAATGTGCTTTAAAAATATCTGTTTTAGGCCAAAAGTTCCTCTCAAAACTGTAAAACAACATCTCAGGCATCAGGCAGTGTATTCATAAACCTTTTATGTCATAACTTTCTGTGAGGGAGGTGCATGTCTGGTTCCTATCACCACGGCTGTGAACAATTCTGACTCTCTAGAACTGAGCATTTCATATCAAATCACTCTGAATGACTTTGTTTTCATCTGAATAAACAAATTATTTGGAAATTTTGAAAAAATCCTTCTGCTGTAAAAGGAAGAAAGAAGGAAAAATGTAGCTCCTTTACCTCATTCATTTAGGACTTGCTCGCGTGCGCCCTCTGGCGTTTTGCAGTCATGAGAATTTCTATGCTAGCATATAAATTCTCGTGCTAATAGGATGTTAGCATCCAACTGCACAAATCCTGTTGACTGTAGAAACATTGAGAGACACTGAAGCATTTGAATTAAGTTTCTTATGTAATACGTTCTTCTACCTTCCAAAATTAAAGGAAGTTGCTTTATGAAAGACTAGGAAACTATTAACATTTTTGGCCGCTTAGCCCCGCTGCCCCCCAAATTCAATGAGGATTCACTCGCGCGCCCTCTGGCTGGAGGAATGGAGGGCTACGAAGTGGCCAGGCTCCCCTTAAAGGGAAATCCCACCAAATTTTTAAAAGGTGTGCAATTCAATGGTTGAGATACCAACAAAGTAATTCATAATAGTTTGATGTGGAATGGTGTACTGTAGAGAAACTTATCGATGCAGATTTCCCTACGATGGTGGCGATGGGAACCAGGGGTTGCGATGTCTAGAACACAGATATAGTCTATATATGTTTTTGCCATCAAAATGACCAGTGAACATACACGAGTCTTCTAAGTTTGTGATGTTGATAATGGTCTAAGGGTACTATGTACCACTCAAAAGATTTTCAAAATACATTTAGGCCAAAACCTAAACTATTGTAAAACTAATTTTCAGGCATCAGGCAGCAAATATATAAGCAACTGATGTAATACCTTTCTGTGAGGGAGCTTTTAGAGACATTAAATGCTTTAGATGTCTGGTTCCTATTATCACCACTCTGAAACATTTTGACATAGCAACTTTCTATATAATGGAGCATTTCCTATGAAAGCACTCTGAATTACTTTATATCGAAATCATTTAATGATCGGTGGACTGGCTCCAGTACTACCATGTGCTTTTTCAGCTCAGTACTGTTAGTTGGATACACAACGGGCCAGAGAAGACAAATGAAACACAAAATATTGAATTTATTATCAGATTCAAATGTGTACATGTTTTTGTTTTCGTACACACTTTACGAAAGCACAGTAGGAACGTCTTTTAACGTCTTCTTCACATCACATTGAACACACAGTTCAGTTAACTTCTCAACAGGCCATTATACTTGCACTTCAAATTCACTCACGAATTATGTGTTACTCACGCTGAACACCAAAGACACTGACGAAACGTCTACAGCTGGAATGGGGAGAGATTAACGTAATATGGTCTACCGGAGAAAATTGCGCTACTGAGGATTTCTGACACGGATGACTTCCTTCCTAATCCCATATTTGGCTGGCTCAGTTGGTGTGCTATGTGGATTTTCCGTGCTGCCTCATTTCTGCCTCCTCTCTCCATCAAATAAAACCTCTTAGCGCCACTGCAGTGCGCCCCTGCAACGCTAACTTCAGATATTTAAAATAATCATTAAAAATCCTCTTCATTTGTCACACATTCTCACTTTAACTAGTTACACGTTTCATTTATTGAGATATGCTTAAATAATCTGGACACAATAGCTACAAATAATCAACAGTAGTTTTCTTAATAAGCCTATATCTCATAAAAATATATAACAGCCTACTCTTATAGGCCTAAAATTGAACATATATTGTTGAAAATGAAGTTACATAGGTTCACCTGCCTTGAGCAGGGCTGGACTCATTTCACTGTCACTCACAGATACACTATAGAGTGCAAAAGTCAAGACCACCATTGCCTTTATTCAATTTCCACTCAAAACGGCCATTAAGTGAAAGTTATCCATAAAGTCAGGAACAAAATCAGGAACTATATATTAGAGAAAATAACACAGTAGTCTCAACAACTAAATATTATATCACATTTCTCAGTGTTTAGTGTGCCTTTATGACAGCTTTCATTCTTTTTGGGAGACTTGGTTTCAGTTTTTCAAAGAATTTTGCAGGGATATTTTTCCACACCTCCAAAGTTCAGTCTTAGAAGTTGGTTGGATTTTCTGGAGCTTCTTACAATCCAAGTAATCTCAATTACAAATTTAGACTCATCCATCCATGAAACCACATCTGAGATCTACTGCAGTAATGCAAATCTGATTTCTCTCCCTCTCTCTCTCTCTCTCTCTCTCTCTCTCTCTTTTTTTCCTGTATTAGTAATATCATCTTGACAGCTACACATTCTTTCAGGCCCTCAGGCCTTTTGTGTTGTCTCCTCATAGTGGAAGGATAGACTGAAACACCTGTGGAAAACTCCAGGTGTGAAGCAAGAGTGGAGTTTGATTTTCTCCTCTCTCTGAAAGATAAAAGCTTTAAATACTGTTTATCTGATAGGGACAGTTTTGGTGGTCTACCAGGTATCCCCCCTCTCTCATTTATATCATATGTCATATAATTATAACATATATTCTCCTCAGAAATCTCTCTGGAACTTGAACTTAATGGCCATTTTGACTGGATATTGAATAAATGACTTCTGTGCAGTACTATATGTCCAAAGGTCTGTAGACAACTGCTTATCAAACATTTCTTATGAAATTGAGGGAATTAGTTTGTCCCCTTTTGCTGCAGTAACAGCCTTCACTCTTCTATAAAAAGAGCATTAGTGAGGTCAGGTACTGATGTTAGATGATTAGTTCTGGATCACAAACTCCACTCCAACAAAGGTATTGGATGGCTTTAACCCCCTCTAGCCGATGTTTGGCTTGGGGCATGGTGGCCTTAGGGCTGTGTGGGGTTGCTCTAGGTGTCATAGTCCATTGGTGATAGCAATGGACACTTACTAGTTGAATTCACTAATTAGAAGGTGTCTACAAACCTTGGGACTTACAGTGTATGAAAATCTGTAAATCCATTTAATTGGAAATCATCATACGGTGGGCTTGTGTGCACCCGTGGCAGAACTCAGTCTCAGTGCTTTATTGCTCACAATTACTACCAAAAAGAAAAAGAAAGAAAGAAAAACAAGCACATCATCACACTAATAAAACACAAGATATTGCACGTTTGTGACGAGAAAAGCGAGAATAAAGAAGTAACCAGTTTTTTTAGTGATTAAGTAGATTGAGCTCGCTGATTGGCAATCAGAGGAAGAGTGCAC